GTACAGCATATCCGCGGGCATGTGTCGTTGACGCAAAGACTCTTATGCGGAAAATAAAATATACAAATGCAATCAACTCAATACTCTCCGAGCGAGAATCAAAGTTAGTTATAACGATGAATTCTTATAATGAATTCGCCCCGACGTTTTCAATCTAACGAAGGGTAAAGAGACTGTTTGAAATTAACTGGGTCTGCGGACCGCAAATTTCATGTACGGACCGCCGTTTCGACGGTTGTTAAAGGTCTAGCCTCTGTGTAAGCGCAGAATATATAAAATATCAAGTCGCGATGTAAACTGTTCGTCATGTCCAGGGAATATCGTACGACTCAGATATATATATGTAAGAAAATTCGTTGTTTAGAAATATTCATCGAACTTTTCTATACAAAGTGTGGTCTCTCGGGTGACGCCGAGGGACATTTACGCACTATGCTATTATATATATAGCACCCTGGTTGATCCTGCCAGTAGTATATGCTTGTCTCAAAGATTAAGCCATGCATGTCTCAGTGCAAGCCACATTAAGGTGAAACCGCGAATGGCTCATTACATCAGTTATGGTTCCTTAGATCGTACCCACATTACTTGGATAACTGTGGTAATTCTAGAGCTAATACATGCAAATAGAGTTCCGACCAGAGATGGAAGGAATGCTTTTATTAGATCAAAACCAATCGGTGGCGGGCTTGCCTTGCTCACCGTTTGACTTGGTGACTCTGAATAACTTTGTGCCGATCGCACGGTCTAGTACCGGCGACGCATCTTTCAAATGTCTGCCTTATCAACTGTCGATGGTAGTTTCTGCGACTACCATGGTTGTTACGGGTAACGGGGAATCAGGGTTCGATTCCGGAGAGGGAGCCTGAGAAACGGCTACCACATCCAAGGAAGGCAGCAGGCGCGCAAATTACCCACTCCCGGCACGGGGAGGTAGTGACGAAAAATAACGATACGGGACTCATCCGAGGCCCCGTAATCGGAATGAGTACACTTTAAATCCTTTAACGAGGATCTATTAGAGGGCCAGTCTGGTGCCAGCAGCCGCGGTAATTCCAGCTCTAATAGTGTATATTAAAGTTGTTGCGGTTAAAAAGCTCGTAGTTGAATCTGTGTCCCACACTGTCGGTTCACCGCTCGCGGTGTTCAACTGGCATGTCTGTGGGACGTCCTACCGGTGGGCTTAGCCCGTAAAAAGGCGGCCCAACTCAAAATCCTACCAAGGTGCTCTTCACCGAGTGTCGAGGTGGGCCGGTACGTTTACTTTGAACAAATTAGAGTGCTTAAAGCAGGCTCATTCGCCTGAATATTGTGTGCATGGAATAATGGAATAGGACCTCGGTTCTATTTTGTTGGTTTTCGGAATTCCGAGGTAATGATTAATAGGGACAACTGGGGGCATTCGTATTGCGACGTTAGAGGTGAAATTCTTGGATCGTCGCAAGACGGACAGAAGCGAAAGCATTTGCCAAATGTGTTTTCATCAATCAAGAACGAAAGTTAGAGGTTCGAAGGCGATCAGATACCGCCCTAGTTCTAACCATAAACGATGCCAGCTAGCGATCCGCCGAAGGTTCTCCGATGACTCGGCGGGCAGCTTCCGGGAAACCAAAGCTTTTGGGTTCCGGGGGAAGTATGGTTGCAAAGCTGAAACTTAAAGGAATTGACGGAAGGGCACTACAAGGAGTGGAGCCTGCGGCTTAATTTGACTCAACACGGGAAACCTCACCAGGTCCAGACACCGGAAGGATTGACAGATTGAGAGCTCTTTCTTGATTCGGTGGGTGGTGGTGCATGGCCGTTCTTAGTTGGTGGAGTGATTTGTCTGGTTAATTCTGATAACGAACGAGACTCTAGCCTGCTAAATAGACGTACTTTCTGGTATCGCAAAGACCCTCCGCTTCGGCTTCGGTCGTTGTTGGTTGTGGTTCTCACTACCGGCGTACAAATATATCTTCTTAGAGGGACAGGCGACATTTAGTCGCACGAAATTGAGCAATAACAGGTCTGTGATGCCCTTAGATGTTCTGGGCCGCACGCGCGCTACACTGAAGAGATCAGCAGGTTTTCCTTGGCCGAAAGGTCCGGGTAATCCGTTGAAGCCTCTTCGTGCTAGGGATTGGGGCTTGCAATTCTTCCCCATGAACGAGGAATTCCTAGTAAGCGCGAGTCATAAGCTTGCGTTGATTATGTCCCTGCCCTTTGTACACACCGCCCGTCGCTACTACCGATTGAATTATTTAGTGAGGTCTTCGGACCGGTGCGCGGCAGCGTTTCGACATTGCCGATGTTGCTGGGAAGATAACCAAACTTGATTATTTAGAGGAAGTAAAAGTCGTAACAAGGTTTCCGTAGGTGAACCTGCGGAAGGATCATTAACGTACATTTACTATTAAGTGAATGAAACGTGTGCTATATGTCGCAATATAATGTTGCAGACTAAATGTTGTGCGCTCCCATAGTATAATATACTGTGGGCAAAAGCCTTGGCAATGATCAT